GTATTACCGTGAACGGTATGATATAGCCCAGCCCTAACTTATACTACAAGATGGTACAAGTGGTTGAAATCTGTCCAAAATTAGTATGGGTTCCTTTTTTTTCTGTTTGTGCCTCCTCACTATATACACTTCTGTATGCCTCTCCTAGGGTGCTCATACATCTGTAGACGTGTTGTCAATTCATGAATACAATGTTATGTTTTCACTGCCAGAACAGCTTTGTAGAAAAAGCTGTGATTTTCAGTCGACTGCTTGTTTTGTTGTTGTTGTTGTTGTTGGGCTTTTTTTGTTGTTGTTGTTTTCCCTTTTTTTTGTTCTGAAAAAAAAAGTAAAGCCTTTATTAAAAGCTTAGTCATAAAAAAAAATGTGGCCATGTTTAATGTGAGCTTTCAGAAATATAACAATATAAACATGACAGAAGACGTAAAGTACAAACTCTGGCTTTACACAGATGATTGCACAACAATCATTTGCTGACACAAACTCTTTATGTACCTGAATGGTTTAAGTACACCCATGACTTAAGTACATGGAGACACAATGGATGTGTGCACTTCAGATTTAGTCTCTGTTTAGACTTTATTGGAAATGTTAGCATGCTAACAAACTAAACTAAAATGGTAACTAGGTAGCTAAAAAAAATCTTACGCCTGGTAAATATTAGCGTATTTGGCATTAACTGTCCTTTCCATGGACAGATGAAACCAAAGTGGAGATGTTTGAGTTCCGGATTTGGCATGAACCACAAAAAGCATATCAGCACAAACAACAAGTGGCGAAGGAGGGATGATTTGGGCTTGTTTTTCAGCCACCGGATCTCACAGGTCGACCATGAACTCCTCGTGAAGTCTTCTGCAGTCAAATGTGAAGCCATTTTTCTAACAGCTAAAGCTTGGCTGAAATCAAATCACAGGATACAAACTGAAAAATAAAAGAATCATTGTGTTGCAATGGCCGAGTCAAAGTCCTCAACCTGACTGAAAGGTTGTCACGGGACCTTAAAAGAGCTGTGCATTAATGAATGTCCAAAAACCTCAATGAACTGATGCAACGCTTTAAAGAAGAGTTGACCAAAACGCCTCAACATCGATGTGAGAGACTGATGAAGTCTCAGAAAACAAGTTATTCCCTCAAAAGTTGGTCCTATGAGCTTTTGAATCATAGGGTTTACTTGGCTTAGTTTTAGAGTCCAGTTAAAATGTTTTAATCATGCGGCTGTGCGAGAAAGCTGATGATTTTCATGTACAATAAAGCAGGACAGGATTTCTCACTGCGAACACTTTGATCTCGTAAACAGGTACCAGCAGTTTGGAGGTGAAGGAGAATCAGGATGACAAATGCCAGGTGGAGCGTGTCCTCCTTAGAAAGTATCACCCATCAACTTTTTGCACAACTTTCCCCAAAAATGGACAAAGAGCTTTGAAGAGGAAGCAGCCGCTGGTGGACGGAAAAGACCAGCTGCTCTACCAAAGCCACTCGACCTGTAAAAGAGCAGCTTGGGGTGTGACTCAGAAGAACGCACTGGTGCACCTAAATGAGCTACGACCAGGCCTGCAGTATGATATCACATCAAAGACTGGCCCGCTGCACGCACCGGTGTTTTCTGTAGCCGTGGAGGTAAACGGCTTCCACTTCGAGGGCCGAGGACCAACTAAAAAACAGGCCAAGATGAGGGCTGCAGAGCAGGCTCTCCAGTCATTCATTCAGTTCCCAAACGCCTCCCAGGCTCATGCCACCATGGGGAACTTCACCAGCACACCTGTGGACTTCACAGCAGATAAAGTGGATATTCCCAACGGATTTTTCAAAGAGTTTGAGCCGTCGGTGCTTCGGAACTGTGATCTACTCCACTGCAACGCAGCAAAAAAGGAGGTCTTCTCCAGCATTTACAACCACAGAAGACTTGTTCGTCTAACACTGGACTTGGTGTCCTCTACAAATCCAAAAAGACGAGCAGTCACCACCTCACTGTTAGAGGACCTCAGTCCAGTAGCACTGCTCAGTGAGCTGCGACCGGGGCTCAGGTACATGTGCCTGACTGAGAGAGTTCCTGGCAGGCCGATGAAGACTTTTGTTATGGTGGTCAGGTTGGAGGGGCGGGTGTTTGAAGGGTGTGCCCCCAGTAAAAGACTGGCCAAGGCCAAAGCAGCAGCAACTGCCCTACAGTCTCTTTACAACATAAGTCTGGGACCAGAGAGGACCTTCATGGGCCTGCAGGACAGCAGGGCCAAAAATCAGCTACCTCAGGTGAGTATTTTACCTCTACTCTCCTTTTATAAGTGTAGGAATAAAAAAGGAGTTGTATATGGAAAGATGTTTATTTACTCATCTGTAATGAGTAAATAAACAAATTTTAATGAGTTGATTTTCGAAAACATGTCCTGCTTACATGGATGAAAAACTGTATTGAGCTTCGAGTCACCTACCTGAGCAGACCCAAAAAGGATCGGGGAGCACGTGGATCCGAGCCCCAGCTAAAAGTCAGTCAGTCATCAATCAGTGGGTGGCTGTGGCTACAATGTAGCTTACCATCACCAGTGTGTGAATGTGTGGATGACTGGATGGGGTCCTTAGGGACTAGTAAAGTGCTATACAAATACAGACCATTTACCATTTAAACAGCAATAAAAATGCAAAGAGATGCAAAATGACCAGGTAAAATTTTAAAAAGACTCCAACAGGCAAACATGAGCACTGTGGCTATCACAATATACATGAATTTACATCTTTCTGTCCCATGCATGACTGCTCATAACCGGTTATGTAGTCTTCTCATTGGAGTTTTTATATAATATTACATATCCCATACATACAAACAGCACCTCATATGTGCCCATGATGATATCTGATATCATTCAGTGTTAAAGGCAATAGATGTTCAGGTGTTGTCGCAAACGCATTGGTCGCATTTCTTTTCCCACCATGTGGCATTGGCTAAGGCCCCCCTAGCCCTTACCTTTATATCACCTGTCATTCCGAATAATAAAATAATGTAAAATGCTGAAAATACAAAGACATCACACTCTCTAAATCTGCCTTTTTCTCACCTTTCCGGTGATCTTTGTTGATTAGACACAAATGCAGATAAAAACTGAAGCAGACTGGCATGAAAATAATAACTGAATAGTAACTGAAATTATTATTTTTTTAAAGAAAACACAGGATTTTGAAGGTAAAGAGATAAACTGACAAAAACTGGGAGCAAATCAAGATGCAGCATCCAAAGCTGAAAAATGAAGCCAATGCAGATGTGCCCAAAACTGCAGCTCCTCTAGGAAATCCAAAAGGAGAGTCAATCCAATCAGATAACGAGGGCGGAAAAAGGGGGACTGTAAACAAAACACATATACAATAAACAGCAATTTCTCTGTTCTTACGTCTCTGTGTGCAGATTTCTCCAACCCTGATCATAATAACATAAAAACCAGTATTGATCTGGTTTTGTTTACAGTTGTGCAACACTTGTTCGTGTCTTTGTTTCACAACAGTACCAAGATGTGACACGTTTCAGTGTTTCACTTTCCCCATTACAACATGCAAGAGAAAACACGAGGGAAGTGGAAACACCAGGGTAACAAGGCACAGCTGAAAGTAATTAAGACAGTAACAAAGGAAGTCAACCCAACGGAAAAGCACAAGAGACAAATGACTAACCATGTAATCATGAGGATGAAGACAACAAGAGACGACTGGGGTGGGAAGAAAAACCAAAACACATGAAACCAAATACCAACAAACCAGCAAGGCACAAAACCCGAATCCTTAAAACATAAAGTCCTGTTAAAATCACCAAACATAACTTCTAAACTAAAATCCTGAATGAGAAAAACCACAGTGACAGAAACACACATGACATGAAAAAGGAAAACATCACATCAAAGATGGAGTTAGAAGATGGTCAGAGACAACAAAGCTGTCCCCCAGATGTTTGTTCTGTGCCCACCATTTTTATAGTGAGGTGACTAAACGTTAACAAACTGCAACATCGTTCTCCTCTTACATCCTGTGGGTCCTCACTTTGAAACTGTCAGCTTCAAGTCGTGACACTGAATTTCTCCCTCTTCTCTTTAGCATTTGCCATTGTTCGAAGCAGTCTGGATAAATGGGTGTGAGGTGCACCGTATGCTACCAAATGGAGTGTGCTGCACATCAGCATGGCCATCATGTCCTGAGGCCTGAGAGCTGGATGGTGTCCTGCACACTCCTCTGCAGCATCTAAACAGCTTCATTATGTCTCAGAGCCGCGGAGAATTGTCCCCGACGTCTTTTACTGTCGTGCTGCCGTGTTTTATGAATACGAGGCGACTCGTCTCCTCGGATCGACTCCGGGGAGATGAAGGGAGTGACTGGGCATAAACCCTTTTACACAGTTGTTGAAATATGCAAATGATAATGGAGAAAGACAGACATGTACATACTTCATTGAAGCCTGAGGGAGGTTTGATGAGAGGATCCACTGACGGGTGGGTGCAATGGCAACATTTTGGGTGAAAAAGGGGATTCAGATGCTTTGATTTTGAACAAAAAGCACTTTTACATGGCTGTATGCTGATACACCAGTAAGTGAACAATTTGCCAAATCCTCCCTCCTCCTCCTCCTCTTTGTGTGGAATTTTTATTTCCCATCATTTAGCATCAGCCCTCCCTCCTTCGCTTCAATATGAGCTGTCTGTCAGACGGCGTGACGCATTAATGAACATTATTACAGCACATTAGGGATGAAGGAGGAGCGGCAGCGGAGCAAGGAGATAGAGGTGGAGCAGGAAGGCGGTGTGAAGAGCATAATAATCCAACAGATAATTGTTTAACACACTCATTACACACGACCTTGTGCCGCTGTCATCCAGAAAATGTTGAGCTTGAGAGTTTCACTCAAAATAAGCTCGCTCGGACCACAGAATAGTTTGAACCTTTAAAAGGTGGTCGCTGAGAACATGCCGGGTTAGCATTACTGGAAGTTTATATGGTTAGAAATATAAAAAAGACATTAAAGTGTGACACTTTCTTTTTAAAGGGGGCCTGTTCTTCTCCTTTCCAGTTCCCCAATACTTCTCCTTAGTTTCTAATAGCATAGCTTAGCATGATCCACTGGCTTTGATTCAGCAGCTCAGTTCATCCTCTTATCGTTGCTCTGACTGATCTGAGGAGTGTTGGTGATTATCAGCAGAGCTTTCACTTGACTTTATCAGACTGCTGTTTTCTTTCAGTTTATTGTTGCTTGATTGTCCATTAAAAGATTTTATTTAAAGGTTTATTCTCTGAGCTCTGAACGTCATCGTGAGCTTCAGCCAGATCTGATCCAATAAATATAGATTTTTTTGTTTGTTTTGAAAAAGCAGAGAAATTTACACAAGTTAGGTTTTTGGGTTTTTTTTTTTAGCTAACTGGTTATTTACTACTCTTACTGTGGGATGAATAAAGTATTCTCATTCTGATAAATTCCATAATAAAGTACACAAATCGGATCTTTAAATGTAAATCTTGCAACAGAAAAAATATTATTCTGAGTGTAAGTAACAAACTGTTTCCTAGTGATATTTCTAAAAACTCCACCTTTGGTAAAATCCAACATTCCAATCTTCCCACAACAGACTAGAATAAATATTTTAAAGTCCAGACAGTCAGTGGAAGTATAGTTTACCTCCAATCACATCTGAATTTACCATAATATGAATTATTAGCAGTTACTTCAAGGCTCAATTCAGACAGTCAAATATTTAATCTGCTGTCCCCAAACTGAGGGAACAGACTGATGTGCTGGGCAGTCTCTTATCCTGCAAATATTCAGCAGACGGTAAATAGAAGGACATTGAGCAGGGCTGCTGTTTAGTTTAAACCTCCTGTTGTTTTGATGCTGTTCCTTTACCTTATTATAACCTCCAGGTGTCTCTCAAAAGAGTGACAGGCCTGAAATATCAAACAATAAGAGATATTTTGGGATTGTGACACCTCTTCCTTCGAAAACTGGGGGAGTTAATTGATAGAAAACTCTCGGCCATCGCTGACAAACTGTCGGATTTTCAGACAAGCTCATGCGCTCGTAGTGTTGGGGAATATGGCATTAACGCAAGTTTACCCAGCCAACTTTTCAGACAAAGTGAAGGAGCATTAAAAACTGTTAACATCTGTGGGTATTTGATGAATAGAACAAGTTTTATCAACAAAAATGGTAAAAAATACTGCAAAAATGTATGAATCACAAATCATTTATTCATTATATATAAAATAAAAAATATAGTTTTAACAGTCCCATAGTTATTTGATCATCTGTGCAACACTTCAGCAGCTAAAGGTACTTTTTGTATTTACAAGCAAAACTAAACTAAAACTTTCGCCACTAGAGGGCAGAGTTTTCCCTTGAGTGTTTTACTGTAGTTCATTGACATAATGAATCACAGCATGCAAAGTTATCCATTGCTGTGTGTGCTCTCTGGATGGTGTATCCTTTCTTGTCATGCTGGGATGAGGACAGTTTCACTGTGTTTGCACAGATGTGGAGAACAGCTGCCTGAACAAACACATTTATTTGCTTTGTGCTACAGTTAGTCATAGCGAGTTGTCACAATTTGGCCAATAGCCGGCGATAAAGAGGAAAGACAAGCTAGGTAGACCACTTTATGTCACTAAAAGATTTTAAAAAAAAGGGTTTTAGTGCTTCCGTTGTAACAGTGTATTACATGGTTACATTCCTAAAGCTTAAAACAAAGACTAACAGGCAACAGTATCCTCTGAATAATGAAGCATCTCGTGATCTTCAACAAAAACACACTTTCAGTTTGTATCCTCAGTTTTCTTCTTCTGTAGTTCTTTGCAGAGTCAATCTTCCACTTGGTGAGAGAGAAATACACAGCGCTCGCAGACAGCTGTTCCTCTACCTCGCACGCCCGACACAAGGTGCTGGCAGGGATCGTGATGACCAGAGGTGAGTGCTGGCGCTATGATGGTCAAAAAGTATGACCGAATTCGACCATGAAGAAGAGGTCAGAGGTCCAAAGTAACGTGATGACATATCATTCCTTACATGCTGATCTGTTATCAGTAGAAAATGTTTTTGTAAAGCAATTCATTGAACTTTGGTATTTAGCCCAGTGAACAGCAGCATCATGTAATCTTTGTTGTCATTCATCACACTAGCGTGCTTTCTTCATCAGGTATCTTTGAAAAGAAAAGAGGCATGCACCCACAGGGCATCCTGTGTAGGCTTTGTTTTTCATTATCTGAAGGAGTCATACATCATCTACATTCGTACTTTACACACTCCCACTTAAGTCACAAAAAAGCACTTTGGGCTTTGCTCTTTTCTCTAATTTGTGCCTCGTCGTCTCCTCCAGCCTGAAATTAGTCTCTCTAAATTTAAAAGAACAAATTACAAGTCCAGAGTTATTCCTAAATTGTTCTTTATAACTGCTTCACATCTCCTCCTTAATTATTAAAGATCGTTAATTATTATAATATCTGATTTTATTTTACTTCTCTTCCACTTTTTAATTTTCTCTGTCTCTTGCTTTTAAGCCCCGTCTGATGCCATTTCACCTTTATCCTTGTAAACATTTTATTTCTGTTTATTAGATTATAATTCTGTGATTGACTTCATACAAAGTGGTGTAGAATTAAGTGGGAGGGGTGTGTGTGTGTAGGTTATGTTGCTTTGCTGATGCTGATCAGAGACAGTCTGGTGCAAATATCTGAGACAGGGTGGGATTGTTAATGCAGAGACTATAGGAGGTTCACATCTATGACCTTAGGAGCTGTGATCTGACATGGCAAACACCCAGTGAGTTTAAAATATTGCTCTTTATTTCACAGAAATCCTGCATCATAGTGACACAGTTATCAGTCAGTCCTGGTTCTGTTCTCTGGCTCGCTTCATGTTATCGTTCGCTCGGCTTTTTGTC